TGAAAGACAGGCTTACTCTGTTGATGTGTGCCAATGCTAGTGGTAATTGCAAAGTGAAGCCTTTATTGGTGTATCACTCTGAAACTCCCAGAGTGTTCAGGAAAAACAAAGTCCTCAAGGCTAATTTGTGTGTGCTGTGGAGGGCAAACAGTAAGGCATGGGTCACTAGGGACTTTTTCTATGACTGGTTACACCATGCATTTGCCCCCACTGAAAAATTACCTAATTGAAAAGAAATTAGACATTAAGTGCCTCCTGGTATTAGACAATACCCCTGGTCATCCTACAGACTTGGCAGAGCGACTTTCTGGGGACATGAGCTTCATTATGGTCAAGTTTTTGCCTCCTAATACCACTCCTCCTGCAGCCCATGGACCAGCAGGTCATTTCCAACTTCAAGAAACTGTACACAAAAGCTGTTTCAAAAGTGCTTTGTAGTAACCACAGAAACTCAACTGACTCTAAAAGAGTTTTGGAAGGATCACTTTAATATCCTCAATTGTATAAACCTTATAGGTATGGCTTGGGAGGGAGTGACTAAGAGGACCTTGAACTCTGCTTGGAAAAAACTGTGGCCAGAATGTGTAGACAAAAGGGATTTTGAAGGATTTGAGGCTAACCCTGAGAAGCCTATGCCAGTTGAGGAATCCATTGTGGCATTGGGGAAGTCCTTGGGGTTGGAGGTTAGTGGGGAGGATGTGGAAGAGTTGGTGGAGGAGGACAGTGAAGAACTAACCACTGATGAGCTCCTAGATCATCTTCAGCAGCAAGAGGCCAGACCTGAGGAAACTGCTTCGGAGGAGGGGATAGAAAAATTGAAGAAGTTGCCTACTTCAAAGATTAAGGAAATGTGTGCAATGTGGCTTAAAGTGCAAACCTTTTTTGATGACAATCACCCTAACACAGCTATTGCAAGCTGTGCTGGTGACTATTACACTGACAATGTTGTGAAACACTTTAGGAATGTCATAAAGGAACGGGAGGTACAGGCCACTATGGACAGATATGTTGTGCGACAGAAGTCCAATGACTCTCAAGCTGGTCCTAGTGGCATTAAAAGAAGGGAAGTAACCCCAGAAAAGGACTTGCTACCTCAAGTCCTAATGGAAGGGGATTCCCCTTCTAAACACTAACACCTCTCCCCTCCTCCCATCCCATCAATCATCACCAGATCTTCATTAAAGGTAAGTGTCAATTATTCTATTGTTATTGTTGTTATTGTAATTATTCTATTGCATTAAACTTAATATTTCATGTGGTAAAATTGTTTTTTTCATACTTTTGGGTGTCTTTCACAGATTAATTTGATTTCCATTATTTCTTGTGAGGAAAATTGATTCGCTTTTCGGTATTCGATGAGCTCTCAGGAACGGATTAATATCGAATACTGGGGGCCCACTGTATTACAATATTTCACAACAGTAAATCTTCTATTTTTTGGTTTGAATAAAAATTCATTATGTGAATAAAAAATCAAAATGGAATTCATTAGTAAAGCCTGAAAATGTAACTAATGAACAGAGGAAATGTTAGTTTAGTGCCAGGAATGCCTGCATTGTTTATTCTGGACCCTATTTTGAAATTAGAGTAGTATTTTGAACTTTGCATTAACCCTTTCAGGGTCCGTCCCGTAGATCTACGGCTTTATGGTGAGTGTCCAAACCGTAGATCTACGCCATGAGCTCAGCTCACTCTGATAAACTGTGAGTGGTACATTTGGGCCTAGATATGAGAGAATACATCTATGTGGTATGTGTGCACCACATAAAACAGATCCTGCAGCACACTATGTATAATGAGAGAAAAAAACTGAAATCATGATTTTTCGATTAAAACAGCAACTTTGCAGTGTTTTTTCGTATGTTTTTTATAGTTGTATTTGCGATTTCTTGGTCTCATTTGATAGAATGGAAGACATATTACAGAAAAAGAGATGATTTTGAATGGTTTTAGCACTGGAAATGGCTTGAAACTGAGCTCAAAGTAGCGGAAATGTTAAATTTTTGCCGATATTCAAGAGTGAACAAACGACCTCACACGTCTAATACACGTCAGCTGGTGGGTCTAATATACATTCACAAATATGGTGATGATATTTATACAATTATTACAGTATTGCATAACAGTAAATCTTCTATTTTTTGGTGTGAATAAAAATTCATTATGTGAATAAAAAATCAAAATGGAATTTATTTGTAAAGTCTCAAAACATAACTAATGAACAGAGGAAATGGTAGTTTAGTGCCAGGAATGCCTACATTGTTTATTCTGGACCCTATTTGAAATTGGAATATTTTGAACTTTGTGTTAAATTGGCCAAATTAACAATTTCCGATCACTTTATTTTGTAGTTGAAACAGTTGACTTGGCGATTTCTTGTGCTCAATCGATAGAATAGAAGTAATACTAGTGAAATAGCTAAGAATTTGGTTGATTGGAATAATGTAATTGGCCTAAAATGGGAGTCAAAGTCGGCAAAATCGCCGATTCGTAAATATCGCTGACACATCAAAATTCGCAAGAGCATAATTTCATCAATTTTCCACCAAATTTCGTACTTTTTGTTTTATTACCTTCACAAAAAGATTCTCTACGATTTCATAAGAAAAAATAACAAAATTTTTTTTTTTGAAAATTCTTGGACACTGGTGCGTGACTCCAGATTTGGGCCTTGGACCCTGAAAGGGTTAAATTGGCCAAATTACCAATTTCCGATCACTTTATTTTGTAGCTGAAACAGTTGACTTGGCAAATTCTTGTGCTCAATCGATAGAATAGAAGTAATACTAGTGAAGTAGCTAAGAAATTGGTCGACTGGAATAATGTAATTGGCCTAAAATGGGAGTTGAAGTCCGCAAAATCATCGATGCGTAAATATCGCTGACACATCAAAATTCGCGAGAGCATAATTTCGTCAATTTTCCATCAAATTTCATACTTTTTGTTTTATTACCTTCAGAAAAGATTCTCTACCATTTCATAAGAAAAAAAATAAAATTATTTTTTGAAAATTCTTGGACTCTGGTGCACCCTTTGAAATTTGGCCTCTGGACCCTGAAAGGGTTAAAATCGACAGAACAAAAATCAGGGACTTTTACCGTATTATCATTATTGTATTCCCAGTTAATTCTAAAAGTGGTGGATTTGTGATCACTTGCGCCAAGCTCTTCAGCGATCTCCAGATTATTTACGAGTGTTTCCTTATTTGACAAGACTAGGTTGAGCAAATTATTACCCCTGGTAAGCTCTGTTACACACTGCTTCAGAAAACAATCCTGAACTGTTTCCATAAAGTCACTGGACTCCAGATTACCAGTCAATTGGACTAGTTAAAATCCCCTACTATTACTACGTTATCGTGTCTAGAAGCCCTAACAATTTCGTCGCAAAGAAGTCTCCCTCTATCGTGATCCAAGCCTGGAGGTCGGTATATTACACCTGGAATTAGTTTTTCTTAACCTTCTACAAACTCTACCCAAACAGATTCTGTTACTCTTCCATCTATTTTTATACCCGTTTTTATGCAACAGTTAATATTTCCTTGAACATATAATGCAACTCCTCCCCCCTTCCCATTACATCTGTCTGTACTAGATAAATTTGAAGAAAAAGTAACAATATAGGCACAAGTATACATAATGAGAGGGGTTGGATTTGAGTGAGACTTGCACATGAGTTAACAGAATTATCAAAGCTTATTGCTTGGGTAGAATTGAAAATTGGGTTGGGTAAATATTCTGTTAGTGGGATGGATTGTAAAGGACCTGTATTATGGGCCAACAGGCCTGCTGTAGTGTTCCTCCTTTCTTATGTTCTTATAATATAATTATCATACATTTGTAAATTATCTAGACAGTGACTTGTTTCCATTGAAGGTCCTTGTATACACAACCCGCACATAAAAGAGAGAAGCTTACGACGGCGTTTCGGTCTGACTTGGACCATTTACAAAGTCACACTGTGACTTTGTCAATGGTCCAAGTCGGACCGAAACGTCGTCGTAAGCTTCACTCTTTTATGTGCGGGTTATTTGTGTATCATTCCAGTCACGGTATTGTGCCTTTTTTTGTTATTTAAGTCCTTGTAATATCTTATTTATACATTGAAAGTTAAAACAGCTAAGTTACTCAACTATGTGAGGATCATTTACAATAAAATGAGATATACAGTAGAACCCTCATATGAACTGATTCGGTATCCACGATATACTGTGACCCAAAAATAACTCTTAATTTTGCATAATAATGGCCCCAAAGTGCAAAAGTAGAGAAGCTGGTAGTTCTTGAAAGCCTGAGAGAAGCCATGAAGTGCTTCCCATCAGTGAAAATGTGATAATTCTCCACTCATTGTGCATAATTTATCAATTAAACTAAAATAGGTATGTATAGGACTTGCATATAGGATTTGCTGTTATCCATGGCAGGTCTGTGGAATGTATCCCTCACAGATATGGGGGTCCTACTGTACTAGGAATAAGGTAAGCTGGGTTATTTATATTAACATTAAAGAGAGGAGCAACTTACAATAATAGGTACATGAATGTTAGCTATACAAGAAATCACTCTTCTCCCTTTCTGTAGCTTCATTCATTAGGTACTTTTTGGCTCTCTTCCTGAACTGGCTCATGCTAGGACAGGCTTTGACAGGCTTTTTTTTTTTTTTTTTTTTTTTTGTTAAGGCAGTTTACCATGAAGAGTAAGAACAATCTGTATGGCAATTTATAAGAGCTAGAAATAGGATTCGATGAACCTCAGTAAATAGACACTGTGCCTGTGATGGAATTGTACATTTTTCATGCCTGTTGATTTGAAGATTTTCTAGGGGGGTAGGGGTCTGACTACCATCAAAATTAAACATCAGCTGTCCATTCTTTGGAGTAGAAATTTTTCATAAGGTCAACATTCTAATATTCTTTGTTGAGTTGTATGTATTTTTTTCTTTGGCAAGTAAAGAGTAAAGAATTGTAAGTTAACTAGCAAGTAACAATTTATATTTTCCAGTTTCAGCAGATTTCTCCGAATCTGGCTCTTCGTGTACTGCTCCAGTTTGATCGTGCAATTAATACAGCTTTAGCCAATAAAGTCCGTGCTCGTATAAACTTCAAGGTATAGTATATCTTTAGCATGTTACTTATCTCTGTGGACAAGCTGTATGTTTAGTGTTATAAGTAGACACAAAGCACAAATACACAAGTGATTCTCCTTGAGTAGAGAAAATCATTTCATTATTAAAGAACTATTCAATTAAAGCATTGTGCTATACATTTATACAGTGTTTAATCCATTCCATGACCTTGCTCGCAACTGGGTTTGCTCATTTGCAGAGTCAATTTTCCTCATTTAAATTAATTGAAATGCAATTAATCCGTTCCAGTGGAATTCTGTACTTCAATAATTTCGCTAATATCAACTCTACGGCTTATTTATCTATCTCACTTCATATAATATGACATAAACAATTTAAATAACATAGAAACCTGATATATACTCTAAAATTAATAAAATGTCATTCATGTAGTGGTATGGGTGGTGTTGGCAGTGGACAAGAGTTTGTCTGGAGACCGGGCAAAATACTTCATGAATAATTTCACTAATATCATCTATACGGCTTATTTATCTATCACAGTTCAGCTAATATGACAAACAATATGAATAACATAGAAACATGATATATACTCTAGAATGAATAAAATACAGTGGACCCTCGCCTAACGTTGGCATCACATAACGTTAAATCCGCCTAGCGATACATTTTAACGCAAAAATTTTGCCTCGCCTAGCGCTAAAAAACTCGCTCAACGCGATTCGTCCAAGACGCGTCCATGTGCGGCCTGAGCCAGCCTCACTTGTTCTGCCGGTGGCATTGTTTACAAGCCAGGGTGGCCGGTTGCATGCATACATTCAATACATTTTGTATTATTCCATTGTTTATAGTGCTTGTAACTGCTAAATAAGCCACCATGGGCCCAAAGAGAGCTAGTTTTAACCCTGTGGTAAAAAGGGTGATAAATACTATCGTACCACAGTCAGCTGTTGCTGGACCAGTCAGCTGTTGCTGGACCAGTCAGCTGTTGCTGGACCAGGGTCAGCTGTTCTGGCACCAGGTCAGCTGTTTGCTGCACCAGGTCAGCTGCTGCTGGCCAGTCAGCTGCTGCTGACACCCAGGGTCAGCTGTTGCTGGACCAGTCAGCTGTTGCTGGATCAGTCAGCTGCTACTGCACCACGATCAGCTGCTGTTGCACCACCATCAGCTGTTTCTGAACAACATGACTCGTCCCGAACCTGTCCGTCTAGCCTGAACGTCTCGGCTGCCTTGCTGTCATTGTTTACAAGCCAGGGTGGCCGGTTGCATGCATACATTCGATACATTTTGTATTATTCCATTATTTATAGTGCTTGTAACTGCTAAATAAGTCACCATGGGCCCAAAGAAAGCTTCTAGTGCCAACCCTGTGGTAAAAAGGGTGATAAATACTATCGTACCACAGTCAGCTGTTGCTGCACCATGGTCAGCTGTTGCTGGATCAGTCGGCTGCTGCTGCACCACGGTCAGCTGTTGCTGGATCAGTCGGCTGCTGCTGCACCACGGTCAGCTGTTGCTGGACAGTCAGCTGTGCTGTCACAGGTCGCTGCTGCGGGACCACGTCAGCTGTTGCTGGACCAGTCAGCTGTTGCTGGACCAGTCAGCTGTTGCTGGACCGGTCAGCTGTTGCTGGACCGGTCAGCTGCTGCTGCACCAGGGTTTCAGCTGCTGCTGCACCATGGTCAGCTGCTGTGCACCATGGTCAGTGCTGCTGCACCATGGTCAGTGCTGCTGCACCTGGTCAGCTGTGCTGCACCATGGTCAGCTGTTGCTGCACCATGGTCAGCTGGCTGCACCATGGTCAGCTGTTGCTGCCCCATGGTCAGCTGTTGCTGCACCATGGTCAGCTGTTGCTGCCACCATGGTCAGCTGTGCTGCACCATGGTCAGCTGTGCTGCACCATGGTCAGCTGTGCTCCCACCATGGTCAGCTGTTGCTGCACCCATGGTCAGCTGTTGCTGCACCATGGTCAGCCCATGGTCAGCTGCTGCTGCACCATGGTCAGCTGCTGCTGCACCATGGTCAGCTGTTGCTGCACCATGGTCAGCTGCTGCTGCACCATGGTCAGCTCCCGCTGCACCATGGTCAGCTGCGCTGCACCATGGTCAGGGACCATGGTCAGCTGTGCTGCACCATGGCAGGGGTGCTCCCACCATGGTCAGCTGTTGCTGCACCATGGTCAGCTGTGCTGCACCATGGTCAGCTGCTGCTGCACCATGGTCAGCTGTTGCTGGACCAGTCAGCTGCTGCTGCTGCACCACCATCAGCTGTACTACTCAAAGATGTGGAGTGTGTGTTGTTGGTGTGGCTTAACGTGAAACAATTACCAAGAAACAATTAACCCCAGAGGGTAAGCCACCCAGGATAACCCAAGAAAGTCAGTGCATCATCGAGGACTGTCTAACTTATTTCCATTGGGGTCCTTAATCTTGTCCCCCAGGATGTGACCCACAACAGTCAACTAACACCCAGGAGAACAGGAAAAAATGCCTGGAACTAGTGCTCATATTGGTGAATTTAAGGCCAGCAAAGGTTGGTTTGAGAGATTTAAGAATTGTAGTGGCATACACAGTGCAATAAGGCATGGCGAAAGCTGAAAAATTCATCCCCCAACAAGTGTTCAATTGTGACGAAACAGGCCTGTTCTGGAAGAAAATGCCAAACAGGACCTACATTACTCAGGAGGAAAAGACACTCCCAGGACACAAGCCTATGAAAGACAGGCTAACTCTCATGTTTTGTTGTAATGCTAGTGGGGATTGCAAAGTGAAGTCTTTACTGGTGTATCACTCTGAAAATCCCAGTGTTCAAGAAAAACAGTGTCTCATCACTCATCAGTACTCTTCAATAAAGGTAAGTGTCATTTTAACATTTATTTATGTAGTTATTGTGCATGTCTTATTGTTTTCTTTGTAGGGAAATGTATATTTCATGAAAAAAATTAACTCGGCTAATGATGAGCTCTCAGGAACGGTTTAATATCGTTAGGCGAGGGTCCACTCTGTCATTCATGTAGTGGTATGGGTGGTGTCGGCGGTGGACGAGTGTGTCTGGAGACCGGGCAAAATACTTCATGAATAATTTCGCTAGTATCATCTATACGGCTTATTTATATATCACAGTTCATCTAATAGACATAAACAATATAAATAACATAAAAACATAATATGTACTCTAGAATGAATAAAATGTCATTATGTAACAGGTGGAGGCAGCCACAACTGCTCCCTCTTTGTTGTGGTAAACACTGACATCTAGTGACGGCCTTTTGAAGCCATCTATTATAATTATTATATGTAGTACATTATTATTATATATATATGTATTATTATTATACATATTTTATATTATACATATTATTATTTTATTATACGTATACGTATTATTATTATACATATTATTTTATTATATTATACGTATACGTATTATACATATTATAATTATTATTGTTATATAAATTTGTAATTTTTATTCACAAAAAAATATAAGATTTACTGTTATTCCTTATTGCAATAATTGCATAAATAATGTCAACCCATTCACGGCTGCATATTGGAATGGACAGTGATGTCATTTGTTTACTCTGAAACAGCCAAGCAATGGACCATTTCTCCTAGGTTGAGCTCAGTTTCAAGGCACATTTCATCGTGAAAGCAATCAAAATTATATCTTTCTGTAATATATCTTCCATTCTATCAAATGAGACCAAAAAAAACGAAAATACAACCATAAAAACCATTTGAAATTACCGCTAAGGGTTGGCTAATTGCTGAGAAGTGAACTCCATTACTTATGCTTAGATTTCTTTCATTTTTGGTGTACGTTAAGAAGCATCTTTCCATCATACATTGCCCAAGTTTCAATAAGATAGTCCAACAAACAAATGAGATACAATTCCTGAAATCAAGAGCAAGAGCCCCTCACCAGTGTCAAGGAACCTGCCTTGAGGTCTGCTCGTATTTGGAAAAACTCGCACATGGACACTCTCGCAAGTAGAGGTTCCACTGTATAAAGTAACTTTTCCTTATATCGAAAGTCATGAAAAATTTGTCATTGTGTCAGGTTTAGTGCTTCTTTTTAATTATAATAACTTTCACTGCGTCTACTTCTTAACCTTTTTAGCTGTGTCAAAAGTACATACTAATATGCAGGTGATGACTGTCTTAATGTTCTAGCGCTTTTTTTTTTTTTTTTTTTTTTTTCCTTGGCTTCAAAAACTCGGCCTACTTGTATTGTTGACATCACAACTCTTCAGATCTTCTACAACCTCTTCATTCCCTTGAAAAAAAATCTAAGACCAGATGGGTCCATGCATTGCATTATGGTTAACACTGCCTAACTAGTATAAGTAAACAAAATCAGGATCTGTTGTTCCACGACCAGCCTTATTTATCTCAAATTTGTTATATATTCATGATACTAACAGTGGAATTGAGCCAAAATGCATACTATGTAAATTTAACCTAGGATAACCCAGTAGTCATATAATATGACTATTTTCATGTTTCAACAAGTAATGCACCTTGCAACATTGTAATATCATAAGATTTCCTTGTAAATATATTTTTGCAGTGGTCTTGAAAAGACACAGTTGTTATAGACACAAATTACATTTTTCTTAAAACCCAGGATATTCTCTCGAACATAACTATTCAGTATATTATAATTAATTCAGGTTAACTCAATATAGTCAGTTACTTATTTCCATGTTTTAAACAGTACATACAGTATTGTAACTTGAAATAATTGTAATACAAGCAGGCCCTGCTTATACAGCAGGTTAGGTTTTGGGCTACTGCTATAAAATGAAATCTTTTTTCACTTTCAATTTAATATAAAAGTCTTATGACATGTTTATGCTATCCTATATTAAATGAGCAATATAGCTAGGCCTAAAAAAAAATGCATGTACAGTACATACACATTATTTACCTTAAAATATTTCTGTTCTTAGCTTGTAGTGAGAGGTGAATATATTTACTGGAGGAAGCCTGAATAAATGAAGATTGGGTATAATTGAAAACCATTGCATTAGTGAAATATGTAAAGCGGAGTGCTGTAAAATGGGGCCCTCCTGTATGAGTATTCCTTGTACATAATGTTAGAAGGTAAAAGGAGTAAAAATAGAATAAACTTTTTTTTTTTAACTGGCCATTTCCCACTGAGGCAGGGTGACCTAAACAAAGATAGAAAAAAAAAAAACTCATCATTCAGCACTCATCACTCATACATAATCACTGTTTTTGCAGAGTCACTTAGATACAACAGTTTAGATGTCCCTCCAAAGTGCCAATATCCCAAACCCCTCCTTTAAAGTGCAGGCATTGTACTTCCCATTTCCAGGACTCGAGTCTGGCTAACCAGTTTTCCTGAATCCCTTCACAAAATATTACCCTGCTCCCACTTGAACAGCTCATCAGGTCCCAAAAGCCATCCGTCTCCATTCACTCCTATCTAACACACGCTTGGACTTCCAGCAAGCTTGCTGGAAGTCCAAGCGCCTCTCCCACAAAACCTCCTTTACCCCCCTCTCCAACCTTTTCGGGGACGACCCCTTACCCTGCCTTCCTTCCTTCCCTTACAGATTTATATGCTTTCCAAGTCATTCTACTTTGTTCCATTCTCTTTAAGTGACCAAACCACCTCAACAGCCCCTCTTCAACTCTGACTAATACTTTTAGTAACTCCACACCTCCTAATTTCCACACTATGAATTCTCTGCATAATATTTACACCACACATTGCCCTTAGACAGGACATCTCCACTGCCTCCAGCCACCTCCTTTCTGCAGCATTTACAACATTGCTGCTGACTCCTGTGTTGTATGATTGGTAGCTCTTGGTTTGTATATATTTCCAGTCATAGTAGCCACATTAACTTTGGGATTACAGTTTTTTGTCCTAGTGGTTTCTGTTAATTGACCATCAGATACCATGATAGTTAAGTTTCTCAAAACTGTGTATAATAAAAAATGCATGTAAACTGAAATGAAGAACATGAGGGGAAAATAGGGTGATGGTCATTAAACCCCCATGAAAAGTCCAACCAAATTCTTTATAGGTATCTAAATTGTAAAAATAAACATTGATAGTAATGTAATTATATTTGGATACAGTGGTGTGTTATTTTAATAAAATACTTATAGCTTTAAATATTACATTTTATTTTAATAAAATATTTATAACTTTATTAAAGATTACATAAATTCTGGTTGCTGGTGCATGCCTATTTTGATAGGAGTAGAGAGGGCAAAGGTGGAAGATTGGGGATAGTTAGCTGAAATGGAAAGCAGTGGACCATTGGACAAGGTGGAAGGTTGTGGATCATTAGCCAAGGTGGATTGTTGAGGCTCTTACACTGATGATGGTAATACTCGAGTATGTACTGGCTCTTCATCATCTTCCACTATTGTCTGCCTTCCTTGTACTATCTGTGCATTGAGCTCTGCCAATATTTCCTCTCAATTTTTCTACTAGTTGCATAAACTTGTATCTTTGCTTCATTCTTCTTAACCTTTTGACTGTTTTGGTCGTATATATACGTCTTACAAGCCAGTATTTTGGATGTATGTATACTCACTAATTCTAGCGGCTTCAAATCAAGCAGGAGAAAGCTGGTAGGCCCACATGTGAGATAATGGGTCTGTGTGGTCAGTGTGCACACCATAAAATTCCTGTAGCACGCAGTGCATAATGAATTTTTTTTTTTTTTTTAAATGCCGACTTTGAGGTGTATTTTCATATAGTATTTATTGTTGTATTCCTGTTTTCATGGTCTCACGTGATAAAATGGAAAACATATTACAGAAAGAGATGATTTTGATTAGTTTTATGATAAAAACTACCTTGAAATTGAGCTCAAAGTAGCGGAAATTTTCAATTTTTACCAATGTTCAAGAGTAAGCAAATCACACCACACATCCAATACACATCAACTGGGGAGCCTAATAGTCTTTCACTAGTGCACTGGTATTATTTATACCATTTTTACAATAATGCAGCAGTCTGCATAATAGTAAATTTTGTGCTTTTTGTATGAAAAAAATCAAAATAGAAAGCAATAGAAATATAAGAGGGGCCTAGAGACGTGACTAATGAACAGAGTACATGTTATTTTAGTGTCAAGAATGTCTACATTGTTTATTCTGGATCCTATTTTGAAATTGGCATCTTTTTTAATTTGCGTGAAATTGGCCAAATTGCCAATTTCTGACCACTTTATTGGGTAGTTCAAATTGGTAAATGGGCAGTTTCTTGTACTCAATTAATAGAAAAAATGGAATTGTAAAGAAATAGCTATGAGTTTGGTCAACTGGAACAATGAAATTGGCCAGAAACAGGGCTCAAAGTCGGCAAAATCGCCGATGCATATATGTCACCGAGACCGCTAACTTCGCAGGAGTGTAATTCCATGAGTTTTTGACCAAATTTCATACTTTTGGTGTCATTACCATCGGGAAAAGATTCTCCATCATTTAATAAGAAAAAAAATTTTTTCTTCCAAAAATTTTTCGACATAAAATGACAGTTTCAGAAAGGGGCTTGCGACAGTCAAAGGGTTAATCATACAAATTGAACCATTATTGTCTTGTGCTGTCTCCATTGCACATGTGCCACTTTTAAGCTTATCTAAGCTCTTCAAAATGCCAAGATTTTCATGGTAATGCTGATGCTTTCTGGTTCCAAAATTATTATTATTATTATTATTTTTTTTTCTTCTTTTTTTTCTTTTTTTTCTTCTTTTTTTCTCCTTTTTTTTCTTCTTTTTTTTCTTTTTTTTTTTTTCTTTTTCTTTTTTTTTTCTTTTTCTTTTTTTTTTCTTCTTTTTTTCTTCTTTTTTTCTTCTTTTTTTCTTTTTTCTTTTTTTTTTTCTTCTTTTTTTTCTTCTTTTTTTTCCTCTTTTTTTTCCTCTTTTTTTTCTTCTTTTTTTTCTTCTTTTTTTTTTTCTTTTTTTTCTTTTTCTTCTTTTTCTTCTTTTTCTTCTTTTTCTTTTTCTTTTTCTTTTTCTTTTTCTTCTTCTTTTTCTTTTTCTTTTTCTTCTTCTCAGACAAGATGGGATGATAAAAAGATTAAAATTGGATTCACTAATACACACCCAAGTATGGTATTGGATGTGTACGAACGATGCACTGAGTGAGGGAGGTTGTGTACATTACGTAGTATGACAGTGGACTCGCCCTGTGGCTCACTGTGAGGCAAGGGAGAAATATGTATTCCATGTAAACAGATTTTTTGTGGTGTTTACAAAATATGCTGCAATTTTGCAACTGTTATAGGGAAAATGTGTTAAAAGGTCACATGTTATCTGACAGTCTACCGTACATACTTTTCCCATTCACAATGTCAGTTTATTTACTCTTCATTGCCAGAAACACTGATCTAGTAGTTTAAAGAGCTCTTTAAGTCTCACACCTTCTCCCTTGTTTAATAAATATAATTCCTTTCTTTCAGGCTAATAAGTTGAACACTTACCGATTCTGTGACAATGTTTGGACCTTTTTGATGAGTGATGTGGAGTTTAAAGAAGTTCAGGACTTTGCACAGGTGGATAAGTTGAAGATTGTGGCTTGTGACGGCAGAGGTGAGAAAGGTGAATAACAACGGACCCTTATTTGAATTTCATCACTAGAAAAGCTTGGTATCTAACATTGTTATATTTACTTGTTGATGTTTATTATTCTGTAAAAGGTTATCATGTTGGTCACAAGTTTTACTGATATGTATATGGAATGCATTAATTTTTTGGAATGTTTTATTTCTGCTACTTGAAATATTGCATGTCAGGAGAATATACTGGTATTTGCAAGTGGCCTATTTGAAGGCAGCCAGTATGAAATTTTCAAATTATTTCATAATGTGAACTTGTTAATAAAAATATGAACTAATAAAAAAATTAGTTTTTTTTTTTAAACTGTGCAGTACTGTACAATAGTGTTTATTTGCTTTAACTTTGAGGAATGTATCTCTTGTGATTTTGGAAGTTAATTGAATGTGAACATTTGCTGTGTAAAAACTGAGCCTTTTGAGGCCATCTATAATATAAAGCAATGTAGATAAGGCACAATTCTTTGTGAATGATTTATTTCCCTTTGACTGAATTACTTGTACCAGTTTTGAGCTTGGATTAATTTGATACAGAATTGTTTCTGGTCATGCACTGCTCTATCACTGCTAATTGTGCTGGATATTACCTGTCAGTAGGTACAAGAGCAGAACTAAGCCTATGATGTCCTATCTGTGGTACTTAATATCATACAATTTATTTATCGCCTCTAGCTGTAACTCTCATTTCTTCATTTTGTAACCCTTTCCATTGTTATACCTTCTTTTTAAAGAACACTAGTATGCATCCATCACCTTTTCCTTAATTTATAGTTATAACCTCTTGTTTCTCCCTGTCAAGAAATATCCTTTCATAACTTTTGTGGTAAATGTGTTTTCTTGTCTCACCCTGCCTTGGAAGGAGATGGCTGTTCTTAAAACAATTTCTTTTATTATTTTTATAGTCTTGTGCAATTTAGTGTCTCCTCTTTTCCTCTCTAGATCATGAAAACATGTCAAATGCTTTCAGTTTACATTTTTATTTTTTAAGCTCATGGAAACATTTTATACTCTGCCTTTTTGTTACTTTTTTTTTGGTGTTCTACAAGGTTATATTAAAGTTCCTAACTTTATTTACAAGCTAAGAGCTGTTACCTTCATCAGCTCATTTGAAAGCCATTTTTTGAGTCATAGAAATATGGAACAGGATGAATGTGAAGCCATCTGTGGGCCAGCAATTTCATTAGATCAACTGACTTTATTTTTTGATATCATTATCAAGTTATAACAGGTATATCTTGCTACTTCAGCTTACACTTAGGTCACTACACAGGCATGCACATGCATATACAGTGGACCCCCGGTTAACGATATTTTTTCACTCCAGAAGTATGTTCAGGTGCCAGTACTGACCGAATTTGTTCCCATAAGGAATATTGTGAAGTAGATTAGTCCATTTCAGACCCCCAAACATACACGTACAAACGCACTTACATAATTACACTTACATAATTGGTCGCATTCGGAGGTAATCGTTATGCGGGGGTCCACTGTATACACATACACACCTAGGTTTTTCTTCTTTTTCTTAATAGCTCTTGTTCTTCTTTATTTCCTCTATTCTCCATGGGGAAGTGGAAAAGAATCTTTTGTCCGTAAGTCATGCATGTCATATGAGGCGTCTAAAATGCCAGGTGCAATGGGCTAGTAAACCCTTTTGGGATGCTCGAATGTGCATGGGTGTAGTGCGGATAAGAAAGGGATGATTGCTGATGTTATGAATGAAAAGAAGTTGGATGTCCTGGCCTTAAGCGAAACAAAGCTGAAGGGGGTAGGCAAGTTTCAGTGAAGAGAAATAAATGGGATTAAATCTGGAGTATCCGAGACAGAGCTGACGAAGGGGTAGCAATATTATGTTGAAAGATCAGTTATGGAAGGAGAAGAGGGAATATGAATGTATAAAATTAAAGGATTATGTGGATTAAAATAAGGGTCAGATGCAAAAAGTGGGTCATAATAAGAGTGTATGCACCTGGAGAAGAGAGGAGTGTAGAAGAGAGTGAGTTTGGGAAATGTTAAACAACTGTATAGGAACTTATGAACCAAGTGAGAGAGTAATTTGGTAGGTGACCTAAATGCTAAAGTAGGAGAAACATTTAGAGAGGGTGTGGTAGGTAACTTTGGGGTGCCAGGTGTTAATGATAATGGGAGCCCTTTGATTGAACTTTGTATAGATTTAGTTTAGTTATAGGTAATACATATTTTAAGAAAAAGAGGATAAATAAGTATACAAGATGTAGGGCATAATGACAGTAGTTTGTTGGACTACATCTTGGTAGATAAAAACTGTTGAGTAGACTTCAGGCTGTACATGTTTATAAAGGGGCCACAGATATATCAGATCACTTTTTAGCTGTAGCTACAGTGAGAGTAAAAGGTAGATGGGATACAAGGAAAATAGAAGCAGCAAGTAAGAGAGGTGAAACTTTATAAACTAAAATAGGAGGCAGTTAGGGTAAGATATAAACAACTATTGGAGGATAGATGGGCTAGTGATAGTATATAGGCAGTGAGGTCGAAGATATATGGGGTAGGTTTAAGAATGTACTGTTAGTGTTCAGCAGAAGTTTGTGGTCACGGGAAAGTGGGTGCGGGAGGGAAGAAGAGCTATTGGTGGAATGATGATGTAAAGAGTAGTATAAGGGAGAAATAGTTAGCATAGGAGAGGTTTTTTATAAAGTAAAAGTCATGCAAGAAGGGAAGAGTATATGGAGAAAAAGAGAGTGGTGAAGCAATGTAAAAAGAGAGCAAATGAGAGAGTGAGTGAGATGTTATCAACAAATTTTGTTGTAAATAAGTAAGTTTTGGAGTGAGATTAATAAGTTGAGGAAGCCTAGCGAACAAGTGGATTTGACAATTAAAAATAGGAGAGGAAAGTTATTAAATGGAGAGTTAGAGGCATCAGGAAGATGGAGGGAATATTTTGAGGAATTGTTAAATATTGATGAAGATAGGGAAGCTGTGATTTCGTGTATAGAGCAAGGAAGAATAACATCTCGTAGAAGTGAGGAAGAGCCAGTTGTGAGTGTGGGGGAAGTTTGTGAGGCTGTGGGTAGCATGAAAGGGAGTAAGGCAATTGGGATTGATGGGATAAAGATAGAAATGTTAAAAGCAGGTGAGGATATAGTTTTGGAGTGGTTAGTGCTACTATTTAATAAATGTATGGAAGAGGGTAAGGTACCTAGGGATTGGCAAAGAGCATGCATAGTTTTTGTATAAAGGCAAAGGGGACAAAAGAGTGCAAAAATTATTGGGGAATAAGTCTGTTGAGTATACCTGGTAAAGTGTATGGTTGAAAGAATTAAGAGTAAGATGGAAAGTAGGATAGCAGATGAATAAGGAGGCTCTAGGAAAGGTAGGGGGTGTGTAGACCAATTGTTTACAGTGAAACATATAGGTGAACAGTATTTAGACAAGGGTAAAGAGGTTTTTGTGGCCTTTATGGATTTGGAAAAGGCATATGACAGGGTGGATAAGGGATCAGTGTGGCAGATGTTGCAGGTATATGGAATAGGAGGTAGGTTACTGAAAGCAGTGAAGAGTTATTACGAGGATAGTGAGGCTCGGGTTAGACAAGGATGTGTGATGTCACCGTGGTTGTTCAATATATTTATAGATGTGGTTGTAAGAGAAGTGAATGCGCGGGTCTTGGCAAGAGGCGTGGGGTTAAAAAATGAAGATTCTAACACAAAGTGGGAGTTGTCACAGTCGCTTTTTGCCGATGACACTGCTTTTGGGAGATTCTGAAGAGATGTTGCAGAGGTTGGTGGATGAGTTGGTAGGATATGTAAAAGAAGAAAATTAAAAGTGAATTTAGGAAAGAGTAAAGTGATTAGGATAAAAAGATTAGGTGATGAAAGATTGGATATCTAATTGGAGGGAGGGGGTATGGAGGAGATGAATGTATTCAGATATTAGGAGCGGACGTGTCAGCAGATGGGTCTATGAAGGATGAGGTGAATCGTAGAATTGATGAGGGGAAAAGGGTGAGTGGTGCACTTAGGAATCTGTGAAGACAAAAAACTTTGTCCCTGGAAGCAAAGAGGGGAATGTATGAGATTATAGTTATACCAACACACTTATGCAGGTGTGAAGCATGGATGGTGAATATTGCAAGAAGGAGAAGGCTGGAGGCAGTGGGGATATTATGTCTGAGGGCAATGTGTGGTGTGAATATAATGCAGAGAATTTGTAGTTTGGAAACTAGGAGGAACTGTGGGTTTACCAAAACTGTTATTGAGGTGGTTCAAACATGTAGAAAGGATGGAACAAAATAAAATGTCTTTCAGAGTGTATAATTCTGTAGTGGAGGGAAGGCGAGGTAGGGGTCAGCCTAGGAATGGGTTGGAGGGAGGGGGTAAAGGAGGTTTTGTGTGCAAAGGGCTTTGACTTCCAGCAAGCATACATGAGTGTATTTGGTAGGAGTGAATGGAGACACATAATTTTTAATGCTTGACATGCTGTTGGAGTGTGAGCAAAGTAACATTTATGAAGGGATTCAGGGAAACCAGCAGGCCACACTTGAGTCCTGGAGATGGGAAGTACATTGTCTTCACTCTGAAGGAGGGGTGTAAATGTTGGTTTTATAACTGTAGCGTAAGCATGCCTCTGGCAAGACAGTGATGGAATGAATGATGATGAAAGTTTTTCTTTTTCAGGGCACCCTGCCTTGGTGGGAATCAGCTGATGTGTTAATTAAAAAATAAATATAATCATTATGATGTATGAACATGTTCCAGACTCGAGTCATCCTGGGAATAAATGATCTCAAATGAAGTGATGTTCTGGAGAAGGGTACAGCCAGAGTGAAGTTGCTGCTTGCTGCCTGTCTTGTGGTGTAGAAGTTCACTTCTCGCTGTCCTCGGAGATGGTTAGAGTAAGGGAATTAATGTACCTTAGTATAGTGATAACAACACTGCCTCTTGTTTTATCACTGCATCAAGAAATCTAGAGGCAGTGGAAAGGCCATGTTTGAGAGCAGTGTGGTGTAAATATGCAGAGAATTCAGTTTAAAAACTTAAGAGACAATGTTCTCGCCAAAAGTATAACTCTAGAGGGCTAAGGAGGAGTTGAGGTGGCTTGGGCATGTAGAGAGGATGGAGATAAATAAGTTGACAGAGGATGTATAAATCTAGGGTGGATGGTAGAAATTGGAATCATCCTAGGAATGGTTGGTAGAAAGGGGTACAAAGTTTGAGTCTTGAGCATCCAGCAGATTTGAAGAAGCATATTAGATAGGAGTAAATGGAGATAAGTGATTTTTAATGGATGTGCTGTTGGAGTGTTAGTAAGGTAACTTTTATGAAGGAATTCAGGTTGACCAGTTAGCTGGCATCGAGTCCTGAAAGTGGGAAAGGCCGTGCTTGCACTCTGAAGGAGAGGTGGGGATATTGTAGCTTGGAGGGCCATCTGAACTGCATCAGCGTGCTTTTTGTAAGATGTCAATTTACCGTGAATGTGTCTCCTCTCTGGGTCACCCTACTTTAGTGGGAGATGACCAGTGTGTGAAAAAAAAAAAATTGTATATCCACCTTACTTTGATTCTGGGGAGACACTGCCTCCATGGCCAGGTCCTGGACCAGGTCTCCTGGTTGCTGGCCTGATTAACCAGTCTGTTGGTGCCAGCTACCCACAGTTCAGCTGATCAGGAACTGACTTGAGGAATTAATCAAATTCTTGAAGACAGCCACAGGTTTGTTGGTTATTCAAGATCCTCTTCAACTCAAGTTATTTCTTAGTGTAATGACACGATTGCAAACAAACCATGCCATGGATGGGGTTTGAACCCGCGGTAAGAGTGTCTCAAAACTCCAGACCGTCGCATTAGCCACTGGGCTAACGCGACGGTCTGGAGTTTTCCCTGCCTTGAAAAGGTATTAGTATACAGTAATATTCCTTATTTAAGAGAAAAAAAAGTGGCATGAAGAGTATCACCATTGGCTTGGTGTCTCTTGTTTTGAATGTTCTAACTATCCAGTCTATCACTTTTATCATTTTTCTTGTAATAGCAATAGCAACACTGTTGTGAAACTTGAATGTGAGCTCTTCTGACAAATCACTTCAGCATGTGGATGCTGGCATGGCTAAATCTACTGTATACACCATCATCTTGAAATAAGCCATTATTGAAAGTGCTGGTCATGCATCTTATGTAGCTAAGAATTTGGTTGACTGGAACAATAGGCTTAGCCTAATTTAGGACTCAGTGGGTGAAATCGCCAGTGTGTAAATTGCGTTTAGACTGCTAACTATTCCACTGTATGTTTTCTGTTAAATTTTGTACTTTTGGTGTCATTACCTTCAGAAAAAGATTCAACTTTTTTTTTTTGGGGGGGGGGGGGCTGGATTTCTGGATATTGAGAGTAAGTTTCATTTCAGGGGTCTGGACAGAGAAAGGGTTAACCCACAATAGGTGGCTTAGTCAACTTCTCTATTAAACCAGAAACACCTATACCACCTCAATTCTTACAAAATATTTACTATAAAAGAGTTCCAGAGGCTACGTATAATCACAAGGGTTAATAGCCAAGATTGTATGGTAGACATTCACCTTTTGTATGAGATACATTCCAGAAAAACAGAACTATATGTGAAAATGTGATGGGTGGATTGAACAGCTTGTGAGAAATAAATGGATTACAGTCTGTGCCACTTCCAGGAAAAAGCAAATGACTTTTTCTCATAAATACACAATTCTGCTGGGCCTCAGATGAAGTAGTTGAGATGGAGGGCTGGAGTTCATCAGCTGAGGTTGATACAGGGCTGTTACATGAAGTATTTTGTCACATCTGCTGTGCATAGTTATTATGACCTGATGTCATAACTTAAATAAAATGTCCTGGCTCTTAAATGGCTGCTTAATCTGCTGTCTAGGGGACTGACTGGAATAAAACGTGTCCTGATTCAGAATAATACCGGAGCTATAAAGTATTATTTTTTATATAAATTTTACTGCAGCACACTGTGTAACAATAGTCACCCATGGATAATTTCCAGTAACTCAGCAGGAAAGTTATCTGCTGCTGTGGTCAGCAGAGGCATTCTCACCTTTGAACTTTACATTATGAAGCTTATTGCGCTTACTAAGTCTATGAAACCATCTGTGGGTAAAGGTACAGTACACTTGTTTGCAGGTTTTTCTTCCTGCTAGCACACTGTTTTATAGTAAGATGAGGCTTTCTCACAGATCACAGGGAAGTGGTACACTTTTTTTTTCCTTAATCCAGGCATTTTTTCAGTGTTATTGAGCTATATTGATTGCTTTCCCATTTTTTCAATATGACAGTTTGGGTTGCACATAACACAAGCTCTTATCTTGTATTCATTGTCTCAACTCTAACAAATTGTTCATTCCCCTCACATCAAAGGTCTTGGCTGCATGACCCACACATGCACCACCTTTAACCCTTAAATGGTCCGAACGTATATATACGTTTTTTCAACATCTGAAAGTATGTAAAAAGTAGATCTTCTGTTTTGTATTACATTTGAAAACGTGTAAAAAAAAAACTTTTATCTACATTTTTTTGTTATATTTGAAAATATGTAAAAAAAGAGTAATCTACTTTTGTAGCACTACGAATTTGAACGTCGATCTGTTTGGACCGTTTAAGGATTAAGCACATCTGTTACCTTTATTTTCTTCTAGGTGCATAGTGTGATGCTTAAGCTACTTGGTATATTTCCCTGCACTAGATTGCCTCTGATGGCATTGGGCGATAGAAAGATAGGAAATGGAGTGGTAACACAAGAGTGGTCGTACTATAAACCTCAAGAGGTAGAGTGGTGGCACGGGTGGGATGCAAGGGTAAGAGTGTAAACAAAGCTAGGCTTACCATGAAATCAGAGAGGCCCAAGTTGTATGGGAGGGGAACTGGCCTATGCATGCTACTGCAGTAGCTGGCCACGTCAGAGTGCAGTTTGGAAACAGGTAGAACCACTGTGAAAGGTGGTGATCTTCAGGGTGAAAATTATAAAAAAAAAATGAATTGGAAACAGCCTGAAACACAAATGGAGACATGAAAGGTGGTGTTCTACTATAGTATTAAATGAGGCCATTTTTTTTTATATACACATCAATTTTACAGGCTAAGATTTGTTATCGTACCTCAGCTCATTTTAACCCTTAAACTGTCCAAACGTAGATCTACGTCCATGTGCGGGGGGAGCTCCGAACATAGATCTACGTATTTTTTTACATGCTTTCAAATGGGAAAAATCAAAGTCGGAGCGCTATGCATGTGAATGTAGATCTACGTTTGGACAGTTTAAGGGTTACAGCCCTAGTCCACAACATTCATCTAACACCCAGTTACCTACTTACTGCTCGATGAACAGGGACAGCAAGTTTAAGGAAACATGCTCGCTTCTGCCCAGCTAGGAATAAAACCAGAAATTTTGAAACATTCATTTTGAAATGACCAGTAAAACAAGTAGGTCTTGATAAGCACTAAATACATTTCAGCCAATATACACTTCCCCACCCCAAACATGTGGAGGTGGGGTTAACATTACCACAGCTTTTGAAACTCAGATACCAGATAGCTAAAATCTGGCTTAACCCCTTCCCCCCTCCTGGGGCAAAAAAAAAAAAAAAAAAAATCCACACCACAGGGTCTTCCTGAGTGAGATATCAACCAGTCCCACTTCTGCCTGGATTTCTCACCAGCCCTGAATACGTCTTCATGATTGCATTATTACTTATCATATTTCGTGGCTTATTAGATGCATTTTTTCTTTTTCTATAAAATGTCTCCAAAAATCACCCTGCGTCCTATAAACTGAAGGTCAGTGACGGGAGCTATAAGTTTGGGGTGGGCTGTAGTTCTCCCAGTTATGTCCCATGCTGAGCCATTGAAAGTAAAATAAATCTTATAAGTCGTGAAATACAATATTTCACAATACATATATCTTCTTTAACACAACTTAATGCAATTTTATAATACTGTATTACCTGTCTGTTGATATTTTATTATTTTAATATAAAATATTGCCCCCCCACCTTTGATACAGACTCCCTCTTTGGCTTTTTTTGTCAGTGGACTTCTTTATTACACCAACTTTGATTATATTTCTCATTTAGCACTCCCCACTACCCTTACTGACTCTGCCTCTTGCATACTCCTAAACCTCACTGATCTCTCATCTTCTCATATTTCATCTCTAGCACCTCCAGCCCTGCAGTGCTGTATGACCCTTGTGGGTTTACCACCTAGCTTTTATTGTACTGTTATAGTACGTACTACTATATTTAAATAATGCTTACTACTATTACAGCTGTTATTTTACTATGTTGTTACTATACTAATACACTATTACTATATAATTACTATTTAGTACTACTGCTATACTAATACTATTGCTTCTATATTATATTAGTACTATACTGCTGCTGCTGCTATATTACTGCTGCTGCTATACTACTACTACTACTTCTGTACTATAACTGCCACTAGTATACTATTATTACTATACAGTGGTACCTTGATTTACAAGTTTAATTCGTTCCGTGACTCAGCTTGTAACTCAATTTGCTCGTACAGTGGTACCTCGGGATACAAACAGCTCAAAACTCGAACAATTATGTAAGTGTATTTATGTAAATGCTTTTGTAAGTGTGTTTTTGGGGGTCTGAAACAGATTAATCTAATTTACATTATTCCTTATGGGAACAAATTCGTTCAGTATGGGCACTCGAACAGCCTTCTGGAAAGAATTAAGTTCATATCCTGAGGTACCACTGTATATCAAATCAATTTTCCTCGTTGAAATTAATTGAAATGCATTAATCCATTCCAGCAGAATTCCTGGCTCTTGGGAGGCTGGAGAAAATACTTCAATAGAATGCTATTATTAACTCTACGTCTTATC